TGCTGGTTCAAAGAGTATGTACATAAGGGTTGTAACAATGTTTCACAGGTATGCACATACAGTGAAACCTGTGAGAATCAGAACTCCAGGGGGACTGCCTTGTTTTTCAAGGTCTTGGAAGTTTTCTACCTTTAGCAGGGTACATGCAGTCTTATCACTTTTCTGTCGCTTGTTTTAGTGGAAAATATTTGAGTTTTCCTTCTCTGACAGGTTTCCACCTTACACAGGTTATGGCTTTCACAGGTTTGACTGTACTTTGTAGAAGTCCTGATAATGAAATACTTATTCAAAAAAGAAGTTGCCACTAATGGATAAATTAAGATTTGGCATCCTTTCCTTGACTTTGTCCAGGCCGTCTATGTTCCCATAATTACCACAAATTTCTAAGAGTTGGCAATAGCTTCAAAAAAAATAAACTCACCCACAGGTTTTACTGTATAACTGTAAGATAATTCTAGAAGTAGAATTGTGAGGTAAAAAATATGCGCATTTAAAAGTCATGGAAGCTCCATAGACACTTCCAAACTCCCTGAGGGACCAAATTGCTGGGCAGAGTGCTGTGGGAACCATGGTCTCGGGGAACATCTAGCTCAACTGGCATAACATAGTTTATAAAGAAAATGTTCTACATTCTACCTTGGAGAGTTGCGTCTGGGGTCTTAAAAGCCTGTGAGTAGCCATCTAAGATACTCCACTGGTCTCACCCCTTCAGGAGCAAGGGAGAATGAAGGAAAAAAGATAAAAGGGAAAGACTAGTCCAAAGGACTAATGGACCACAACTACCACGACCTCCACCAAACTGAGTCCAGTACAACTAGATGGTGCCTGGCTACCACCACTGACTGCTCTGACAGGGATCACAACAGAGGGTCCTAGAGAGAGCTGGAGAAAAATGTAGAACAAAATTCTAACTCACAAAAAAAGACCAGACTTACTGGCCTGATAGAGACTGGAGAAACCCCGAAGGTATGGCCCCTGGACACCCTTTTAGTTCAGTAATGAAGTCACTCCTGAGGTTCACCCTTCGGCCAAAGATTAGACAGCCCCATAATACAAAATGAGACTAATGGGGCACAACAGCCCAGGGACAATGACTAGAAGGCAAGAGGGGACAGGAAAGCTGATAATAGGGAACCCAAGGTCAAGAAAGGAGAGTGTTGACATGTCGTGGAGTTGTTAACCAATGTCATAAAACAATATGTGTACTGTTAAATGAGAAACTATTTGTTCTGTAAACCTTCATCTAAAGTACAGTAAAAAAAAAATTTTTTTTAAATAAAATAAATAAAAAGGATACATATTAGAAGGACAAAAAAAATGTGAATTTGTAATCTCTAGAGGGATTGCAAATATGCCCTCACTAGGGGTTTTACAAGCAATATGATAGTGCCTATTTCACCAACACAATGCATTATGCAACTTCCGACTCTTTCCCAATTCAGTAACTAAAAAGTAGTCTTATTTTACATTTACATGTAGTCTTATTTTACATTTCTTTCATTATGAATGAGGTTGAGCATCTTTTTATATATTTGAGAGCCATCCATATTTCCTTTTATGAGAGCTGCCTGTTTATATCTTTTTTCCTGTTTTTCTAGGGGGTTGGTGGTCTTCTTAATGATTTTTCAGGAGCTTTATCATATGAGAGAAATTAGCCCTTTGTGATGTGAGATACATTTTTTTTTCATTTTTTTATTTGCCTTTGCCTTACACTGAGTTTTGCCACGCAGAAAGGTTTTTATTTTTATATGGACTATATTACCTTTGTCAACCTCAGTTACCGCTTTCTCACCCACCGGCTTCTGTGCTCATTCACTAGGCAATTAGTCTTAAAAACAAGTTCAATGGTTTATCTGAAGTCTGCAAAGAGCAGGGGTCGGCAAACATTTTCTGTAAAGGGCCAGGTAATATTTTAGACTTTGAGGGCCTTATGGTTTCTGTCACAACTACTCAACACTGCCATTGTGGTGTGAAAGCAGCTACGTGGTTGTTGCTAGTTGCCATCGAGTCAATTCTGACTCATGGTGACACCCTATGTGCAGAATAGAACTGCTCCATAGGGTTTTCGAGGCTGTGACCTTTCAGAAGCAGATTGCCAGGCCTGTCTTCCAAGGCACCTCTGGGTGAGCTCCAACCACCAACCTTTCAGCTAGTGGTTGAGCGTTTAACTGTTTGTGCCACCCAGAGACTCCTAAAAGCAGCTATAAACAATACATAAACGAAAGAGTGTGGCTGTGTTCTAATACAATTTTACTTACCAAAATAAGCAGGGGGCCAGATTTGGCTCCTGGGGCATAGTTTGCTGATCTCTGACATACAAAATTGGCAGTTAGGGGCCTTCCTACTCCAGTCTCTGACTCTTAGTGCCGCTATAATCAGCCTTTCCCTCAGTCTGCCCCTATTAAAAAAAGATTACTTCACTCAGTTATCTTGTCTGAGTCCCAAGCTTCTCCCATAAGATATGCAAGCTGCTTGGCAGAGACGTAATTAGAATTTCCCTATATGAAACCAAAACACAAGCCTACCCAGGCAGCTGCAGGCAGCCCGTAGATTTTTATCTTTTACAGCTGACTTAGTCATCTTGGTCACTGCCCTTACCATCGTCTTAGCCAATGAACCACTCAGCATTAAGTAACAGGGGAAAATACTCTTGACATGTTCTTACATGCAATAGGCAATGGGACATGCTGCATAGGAATTTCCCTCCATAGGAACTTCCCTCCACACAGCCCACTCTCAGCCCCCTCCACTGCCCAGGGCAAGGCTTGGCCTCAGAAACCAGTTCTCACTCATCTCTTCTAAACACAAGAAAACCTAAGAATAATGTATTAAATTAACAGGAAAAATGGTATAAAAATCATACAGCTATTTCAAGTAGCTGAAGAAAAATGTTGCTGTTTAACTTCAGTTGCAATAGAAGCTCTGTGGCATTGGACAGGACCTCATCTTAAACAAGGATAGGCCAACAGGATTGGTTTAGAGGGAGTGGTTCAGGTGGTAGAACAATGCAATGGCTGCTCCTCACTTATAAACTAAGAACCTTCTTTGGGTTACTCTATAAACTCTGGTCTACAAAATTGGTACCAAAGAGGATATTATTTTAACTGTTATCAAAGCCTTATGAGTAGATACTTTTCTGGGATTTGTAGTAATTTATATTAGGTGCATGATAAATAATACAAATTTCATTTTTGCCTAGTGAAAAGAAAGTCAATTTTTCTTTTTTGCAGCTTTTTTTGTTATATAGTATAGAAAAAAAAACCATGAAGTACTCCTACAACTTATTAAAGTCAGATTGTCTTGAATATTTATATTAAATGATTTATATAAACCAAACTGTTGGCATCGAGTCGATTCCAACTCATAGCGACCCTACACGACAGAGTAGAACTGCCCCATAGAATTTCCAAGACAGGTTCGAACTGCCAACCCGTTGATTAGCAGCCTAACGCTTAACAACGGTGCCATCAGGGCTCCAAATGATATAGAAAATGAATTTTTCTAATAATGCAAAAATATCAATAGGCTATAAATGATTAACAACAACAAAAAGGCAATAATAAAATATGGCATCTCCACAATTGAAATGGTCAACATTTCAGTCCCTCCTTTTCTTCTTAGGCCAATACCCTTAGATATTAACACCCTCAGCTCCACAGGACACCGCTAGAGCACCGTTGCCAGGATTTTTAGCTAAAGTTTTAGAGTCTGGGTCCAATTCCAGCTATCACGAAAGAAGAACCATCTGGGGCAACTCACTTTGCTCCTGGTTTCTTCTGGAAAAGTGAGAATACCTAGTCAGATCAGCTGGCTGCACATGTAAAAATGAAATAACTTGAACTCATTTACATTAGAAGGTCAAACTTAAGCCTGTTGTTATTGAGGAAGAGAGTTCATCCATTCATTCTTTCAGCAAGTATTTCTTGAGCACTTACTATTTGCTAGGTACTGTACTAGACTCAGAGTCCCTGGGTAGCACAAATGGTTAAGTGCTTGGCTACTAACTGAAAGGTTGGTGGTTCAAATCCACCCAGAGGCACCTCAGAAGAAAGGCCTGGCAATCTACTTCTGAAAGATCACAGCCATTGAAAACCCTATGGAGCACAGTTCTACTCTGACACACATGGGGTCACCATTAGTCAGAATCAACTCCAGGATAACTGTTCTGGTTTTGGTACTAGACTCAGGGGATAAAACGTTGAGCAAAACAGACATTGTTCCTACCCTCATATAGCTGACAGTCCAGATGGTGGGAAGTATATTAATCATATGATCTCAAAATCTTAAATACAAACTGGAAAAAAAAAAAAAAAACCGATAAAGACAACGCAGAACTATGAGATCTGGTTTACTGTGGAGATGTGGGAAGGCTTTCCTGAGAAGTGATGCTGAAGTAAGTTAGGAAGGATGGTAGAGAGATCCCTGCCTGGAATGTGGTGGCAGGTTCTGGAATGAGGGGAGGGTGAGTGGCATAGGGGAAACCAAAGGGCAGCGTGGGAGGGGAAGGGTGGCTAGAAAGGCAGGCAGGGCCAGATCTGGCAGAGCCTTGAAGATTTCTTAAGGAATTCAGTTTTTATTCTAAGAGCAGTGAGAAGCCGAAGAGAGCGAAGACGTTATCAAATATGCATTTCTAAAGATTCGGCAGGGTGCCTTGTGGAAAGTGGATTGAAGGGTGGCAGGGACTACATGCAGGGAGACCAGTGTCAGGCAGTGTCAAGCTCTGAGTCTTGGTCTACGGTAGGGCAGAGGAGATAGAGAAAAGGATAGTTTTGAGAGATATCTAGGGCTTGGAGACTGATAAGAAATGGAGAGCATGGGAGATGGGTTTTCACTGATGACTCTCAAGTCTCTAGTCATGCTGGATGGCCAGCATTTGAGGCTTCTAGTTCACGGGTGTACTTACCGAAGATCTTCCACGTGCTTGGAATCTGTTTGTGTCCTAATGAGCCCCTGGGATAAATTTGATCCTGAGTATAAAACTAGTAACTATAGTCCATGTATTCCCTGGAGAAAGCTTCTTAACAGGCTTGAAATCTCTTCATCTCTCCTCTTTTATCTATACTTTCACAGGTGGCATCACATGCCCTACACCCATGTCTGTTGAACATGCAGACATACGGGTCAAGAACTACAATTTGAGTTCCAGGGAGCGGTATACTTGTAACTCTGGCTTCAAGCGTAAAGCTGGAACATCCAGCCTGACTGAATGTGTGCTTAACAAGACCACAAACACTGCTCACTGGACAACTCCTAATCTCAAGTGCATCAGTAAGTAGCCAATTCTGCACCCCACCCGCACCTTTGCCAAAGCAGTCCAGAGGGTGGTGCTGCAGTGTGGAAATGTGAATGAGCCAATCTCAGGGGCCAAAGAAAGGTCTGTACCAAGGCCTGAGGTTACATAAACCAGTGGGACTCTGAACAACAATTTCTGGGGCTGAAAAATATGTCAAATTTGGGGTCACACGATTCTGGGTTCAGATTCTAGCTTGGCCACATACCATCTATAAGGCCTTGGGCAAAGGCCTTCATCTTTGAACTTCTGGTCCCTCATCTAGAAAATGGACCTGATGTCAACCTTGTAGGTTGTAGGAGGATTGAGTGAAACCTGGTCAATTGTAACTATTATTGTCGGTGCTTTGTTTCAAGATTATGGTAGCAAGAGTTTGGCTACAGACAAGGGTGTGTTCTCACGAGCATGCTTACTTCCCAGAAAGCTTTTCAGATTTCTCACTGGGAAATAGACTACTGGGAAATTATTGCTGTTCTTCATTGGTACCCAGCCCAGGAGACTGGGGTAGACCCATGGAGCAGAGATTCCCTTAGCTTAGTCACCTATGAATGGTGAGTGTCCAGCCAGCACTCAAGAGCAAGTATGGGGGAAGGTCATGAGAACTGACTTTTATTTTAACCACTCACAACTGGATAACCATCCCAGAAGAAGCCAAACAATCTTGGACTGGAAGCCACTTAGCACTTTTCTAGGAATACTAAGCCCCACTTCTGTTCTCCCTCTTCCTTACTCTTGAAAAATAAAGATTGACCTGTGATCTTACAAGAGAATTTTGATTAACAAATGTTTATTTAGTACTTAGTGTATGTCCAGCAGCAAGCTAGATACTTTCTCATATAACATTCGTGAATATTCTCAACTCCTCTCCGAGAGGATGGGGGACAAAGGGTTGTCTTATAGCAAACTTGCTCTGCTATGGGACTTGTTGAAGAGCCAGACTTTCTAGCTAAACTTGTAGCGCCTAGATTACTCTTAGGTCCTGCTCCCCCTCCGGCTAAATGACAGTCATAGAAACATCAAAGAAAAGGCAAGGAGGAAGCCTTCACACTTGTGGCAGTCGTCCAACAGAGTTTCCCATGGCATCAAGGTGTAATTGAAGAGTTATGATGGGCAAGGACAGGCACGAGCAGTAACAGAGTCATACTCAGAGAACAGGGAGTGGAGTTCTTACTCTATCCAGTCCTGGAACTCACTGGAACCTGTACTACAGAGCAAAAATAAGGACTTTTCTGCTGTAGGGAAAGGTAGTATTTCCTCAAAGCTCCAAGTCCTTTGGGTGAATGAAATCTGGGATGGAGAAAAGTTGTAGGCTTTGAACAGGGGTTGGGGGGAGGAAAGAAAGGAGAAAAGAAGAGAGAGAGACTTGGAATCGTAGAATTTTAGAACCCAAAGACTGGAGAAATCTTAAGGTATCATTTGGACCAAAGATTCCCAACTTTTTTACCTTTAACACCTCCCTTCATTATTTTTTTTCAACCTCTTGTGCTTTGAATGATTTTTTTTTTCCTGCTAAACAAACTGCATCTATTGAGTAATACTTCATTTTCTCATGGAAAAATCAGTATTATAAAACTGAGTTGATATCTTTCTGTCTTAGTTATCTAGTGCTGTCATAACAGAAATACCACAAATGGATGGCTTTAACAAAGATAAATTTATTCTCTCACAGTTTAGGAGGCTAGAAGTCTGAATTCAGCGTGCCAGCTCCAGGGGAAGGCTCTCTCTCTCTGTCAGCTCTGAAGGAAGGTCCTTGTCATCAATTTTCCCCTGGTCTAGGAGAGTCTCAGCATAGGGACCCAGGTCCAAAGGATGCGCACGCTCCTGGCTCTCCTTGCTTGGTGGTAATGAGGTCCCCTGTCTCTCTGCTCACTTCTCTCTTTTATATCTCAAAAGAGATTGACTCAAAACACAATCTAATCTTGTAGATTGAGTTCTGCCTCATTATCATAACTGCCTCTAATCCTGCCTCATTAACATCCTAGAGGTAGGATTTACAACACATAGGAAAATCACATCAGATGACAAAATGGTGGAAAATCACACAATACTGGGAATCACAGCCTAGCCAATCTGACACACCTTTTTGGAGGACACAATTCAATCCATAACACATTCCAACCAAAAATAAAAGCAATGTGATATTTAACTTGTGCAGTCTTTTTAAAGTGCTAAAAAAAAAATAGCTTGCAGTCTGTCTTTGCATTTGTGTGGGAATTGCAGGTTGGGAAACATTGATTCTTGCTTATTTCCTGTGCTTCTCACCTATCCTAGGAAGTCAGATATCTATATTTTAAATTCATTCATTCATTCATTTATCCATCCAGTTCTGAAACCATTTCAGGTTCCACTCTCAGGATCATAAATGCCATGTGGTTATCTTCTCTCTAGGAGATCCCTCCCTGACTCACCAAATGCCTGTGTCATCCTCCACACTAGCACCAGCAAAGGTGATCCCACAACCAGAGAGCTTCACCCCTTCTAGGAAAGGTAGGAATGTTGGAAACTTTTTAAGGACTCCTATCCCTACTACTACCCAGGTTCCCACAAATCTCTCAAATTTATGGACCACTGCTGGCATTCTACTGCAAACAAAATAATAAGACAAATCTTTTATTAAACTCAAGAATAACAGTTTACATTGGTTTAATTTTCTTTTATAAATCAAGGTTACTTGATATCCAGGTTTCATATGTACATAATTAATAATGGTTTGAAATCTATTACTATGGCAGATCTGATTTAGTTGTCGACATTTATCCTGCCAAGAACCACGAAAGGTCTGACATTGTATCTTTCTTGCATGTTAGCCTGCCAGTTTCATGAATGCCAGCAGAAGACATGACACTCCCAGATCAGAGACAAAGGACTTATTATTCCGCACAGCAAACAGCAGTAGCATCTGCATATTTGCAGATTTGCATATCAATTTCCCTTGTCCTCAAGTCCCACCTAGGCAATGCAGATGGTCCCAAATGGGCACCTGCACATTCAGTGGGCTGCGTTATAGGGGAGGAGCCCTGAGATTAGGGAGCCTGCATCTTTTATAATTGGCAGTAAACCAATGTCGGCTCTTTGCTCCAGAGACAAGCATGATCTCTTTCTTCCAAGGCATTTGCTATATAAATATCCTTGAAAAGACAGTCCAGAGAAATGTAAGTCATTGTTTCTGCTAGTAACACATTCTGAAATGTGAGAGACCCATGGAGAATCGCTTCCCAACAATGCTAAGCATCGGCAAATTAACTAAGATTGCTCTATTATGGAAGCATTGCGCAAAGCTGCCAATGACCTGTATTTCAACTGAGTCTTCGGTAATCTATCCCAATTCCCTCAGCACTATCCCAATGTTAATTCCAAATCTTGGATGCTAAATATCTTGGGATGATCTGCCTTGTATCCTATGATAATCTTACTTTGCAATTAACTTCTGATTTTTTAGTAGCCCGTTAACCAGTTTGTGCTTTATTCTGGCCCCTGGCCCCTCCCTTCCCTCCAGGTATTGTCATCTCTGTTTTCACTTACTATGCTGCTCATTCCCACCTTCCCTAGAGCAGTGGTTCTCAACTTTGGTGCACATTGAGATCACCTTGAAATTCTAATTGGCCTGGGGAGCAATCTGGGAATCAAGGTTTTTAAAAGTTCCTCAGGTGATTGTTACATAGTCAAGACCGAGGAACCACTGCTTGAGGGAGGGCTTAGACACTAGAAAGAGGTTTTCTCCTAGTTGGTTGGCCACAAACAGGAGGAGAAAGAGGTTGTTGAGTACTAGCTAGATTTAAGTTTGGGGCAATTCCAAAATTCCTTTGAGCTGGGTCCCACCTGGCTCAGCCAACTGATAAGATTGATCAGATAGCCTCTTGCAATCCCTGCCTTCATGTCCCATATACTTGGTAAGACATGTCCATCACTGAGACCAAACTGCAGCCGAAACCTCAGATGTGAGAGTGTCATCTTTGACACAGGGTGACCTGACCACCACACTGGGATGTGAATACACTGGATAGACTCTGTCGGCAGACTGCCCTGGAGTACTGGCAGCTTGGGAAACAGTACATAGAGGTGGTGACAAAGGAGTAAAGGCTACAAGGACCTCTCACAGTGTCTGTGACTGGGAGAGGATGGAAAAGTGGCCCAAAACAGTGTGGCCAGGGAGGCAAAGATGTACTGCATCCCAATAGTCCTTTGCTCATGTCTTCTGCTCCAGGATGCATTTTATGAGTACTGGATTTACCACACTAGAAGACCCATTTTTCATGGAAAAAAATAATAGTGAAAAGTTATGCCATGCCTTACAGTTTAAGGGTGGCCAGTCTGATAGTTAGGGACAAGGAAGATGGGTACCTAAACACAAGGCAGGGCTCCCAGCCTGAGAGTGGAGAAAGATCGGGATACTTTCCTCAAATACATCCTCTAAAGTTCCATGGAAACCATGGTGGCATGGTGGTTAAGAGCTATGGCTGCTAACCAAAACGTCAGCAGTCTGAATCCACCAGGAGCTCCTTGGAAATCCTATGGGGCAGTTCTACCCTGTCCTGTAGGGTCGCTATGAGTCAGAATCGACTTGATGGCAGCAGGTTTGGTTTTTTGGTTTAAAGTTCCAGACAGGCTTCCCCTTATTTCCAAGTTTTAGTGCAAAGATATAAAAAATAAAATAAAATCAGCATCCCAAGTGTCTGTGGCAAATATAGTTAAACTTGTTTTTGAGAACTTTTGGGATTTTTTTCCTTAGATGTTCTGTGAAAACTGCAAATTCCCTAGAAGGCACAGAATTCCCATTAGCATTTCAGATGGATAAATATGTTACCTATTTAAGGGATTTTCCCAAAGAAGTGGTTGCTGGGGGTGGGCTAGCCCAGGGCTGGACTCACTAGAGCAGTTCCTTAAGTACATCCTCTTCTGGGGACTCTTTTTGAAATATTTATGTTCCACATGTCTTGGAATTCTCTACAGAACCAGAAGCTTCCACCCCCAAGTCAGACATCACAGTGACCACAGAGAGAGCTTTTGTACTGGGCTCCAGGCGGATGCCATCAGAACCACCTTCTTCAGGAACCACAGTGGTAGTCAGGAATGAGTCCTCCCCAGCCACATCTCAGACAGCAGCAAAGACTTTGGAACAAACTCCCTCTGCTTCCCACGTGACACCAGGTCAGCACTAGCTTTGCATACTTTAGGAGAGAGGCCAGTTCCCCATGTGCTGCCTCTGAGATTTTGGTTGAGCTCTAGAGCAAGACAACTGTATAACATTATGTCATTCAACCCAAAGTATGACTGACTGAGCTACCCTTTTGCCTTCTGCTCTCTGCCATGGCTTCCTTGCTCTGGTATGCATTCTCTGGGTTCTACCATGCCTTAGTCCAGCTGAAATAGCTGGAGAATAAGTCCATCCCCTGGATGTGACAAGGCTAACCTTGTTAACCTGTATGGGCAGAGTTTATGTCAAGAATCTGAACAATATCTGCATCCTCAAATGGGGATGGAGGAAGCTTTCCACAGTCTGGAGGCATGATCTAAGAATGGAGGAGCTCTCGGTAATCTGGATCTTCTATAAGTATTTATCTGATTCTTAAGTTCAGCCCAGCATCTAAATTAGTTACTCTGCTTGTTCTTTAGTGAAACGAGTTTGTGCCAGCTGTGAATCACCCAAGGTTTTAAGGTGAAAGCCAAGTTGCCCAGAATTCTCCTGTTAATGGAAAATTAGGGCCTTTGGGACTATGGCCATAATTGAGCTGTAATCTCTTTTCTGCAGATGCTTCTTCAGACAATTCCACAGCTGTCACTGGGAGTTTCTCAGCTGTCACTGGTAAGTGTTTTTATTTGTCTGGCCGTGTTTATGATCAGGGTGGCCGTTGTCCTAGTTTGCAGACCAGTCCTAGTTGATGCTTGCTGTGCCAGCATGATCATTAAAAGCATTCCTCTTCACTCTTAAAAGTGTCTAAGTTTAGATAATAAATTATATATAATCACCTTATTTATGGGATTCTTTACTTGACATGGAGCCTTGGTGACACAGTGGTTAAGAGCTCAGCTGCCAACAAAGAGGTCAGCAGTTCTAATCCACCAGCCGTTCCTTGGAAACCTTATGGGGCAGTTCTACTCTCTCCTACAGGGTCACTATGGGTCGGAATTGACTCTATGGCAACAGGCTTGGTTTTGGTTTTTTGGTTTATTTGACATGATTACTTATCTTAACATGGGTAGTTTCTAACTGTCAGGCTACTGATGTTGAAACCAGAGAACATACACTCCACAAAAAAGGCCTTATTGTACAGCTATTCACAGTTCTACTAAACAGTGCTAGGCTTCTGTGTAGGATTTATTGAAAAACTGTGAATGAGTGCTGCCATAATTATAGTTATGCTGTTCTTCTGCCATAAGCTGAACTAATCTTTCACAGGATGTAACCACCATGTACTTTACAGTGAGGCTATTCAAGTTTCTCAGTATCAAAGGCTTGTTTTTACAGAAGACACACACAATACTAAGGCTGAGGGAAAAGAAAGAACATTGAAGTTGAGTATAAGGGGTAAGATGGAAAAGTGTTTGCAAGAATGAAAGAAAAAGATGAAAGGAGAAGAGGAGAGCTCAGAGAAGAGAAAAGAGAATAGGAGAAAGATGAGGGAGGGAAAGAAGCTGGGAGAGAAATGCATGTCGTGGGAAAGAATCTAATACTTCTGTCTGACTAAGCTTTATAAGGAACAAAAAACAATTTACTTGGTCTATAATTTGATATGGAGAAAAAAAATCTCTATTTTCTATTCATAAGTTTTTCTGCTAAGTTTTTGTGGCTACATTTTATCTGCATCAAGTGTCATCTGGAAAAACATTAAGTGACTTTGGTCATTTTAGCAGTTAGTTAGACTGGTTTGAAAAATGATCAAGACATAGGCAAAGTCAAGACATTTTAGAAACACTCTTTTGGGATTATTTTCATGGAAAAACTGTGGCATTTAATGACAATGACATTGAAACAGAAATATTTTCATGATTTAAGAGGAGAATTATAAATAAAATAACCAACCTATTGTTTCCCTTATGTCACATACTACATTAATCTTTTTACATAGTTTTAAAGTTTTAATTTATTTTTTGAATTGGTAATATTTGCACATGGTTTAAAATCAAAAGTTACAAAAGGGTAGACAGTAAAAACTAAGTCCCACCTCTGATTCAAAATTCCCTTGCAGGAAGGAAGCAGATTTCTATAGTCCCAATAGGCTGTTTGTATCCTTCCAGAGAGTTAATATGCAAAGAAGCAAACAGAGGAGAGGTGACTGCTAGACAGTTTGGTGGAGTCCCTGGGTAGTACAAATGGTTAACAAACTCGGCTGCTAACTGAAGGCTGGAGGTTTGAGTCCACCCAAGCAGGTCTGGTGATCTACTTCCAAAAACTCAGCCATTGAAAACCATTGGAGCACATTTCTACTCTGACACTCATGGGTTGCCATGAGTCGAGGTTGACTTGGTAGCAACTGGTTCTGGTAGACAGTTAGGTATTTTATTTTTACTCTCCTGAAAGTTGTTTGTTTTCATTTACTGATATATCAATACATCTTGGAGATGCTTCCATATCAGTACATAAAAACCACCTCATTCTTTTTAACAGCTACAAAGTATTCCATTGTATGAATTTGGCATCATTTATTTAGCCAATCTCCTGTTTAGATACTTGGTTGTTTACATTCTTTGACTATATTAAAAACAATGATTAATTGAAAAATATTATTTTGCGTATGTGCAAATATATCTGTAGGATAAATTCCTAGATGTGAAAATTTGGGCCCATTTTTTTCTACATATATTTTCAAAGAACTATTTTATTATGGGCTAAAATGTATTATTTACAGTTCATGACTTTCATTAGATTAAAATATCAAAACTATCTCTGAAATTCTGAAATGAAATGTAATAAACCTTAACTAAGCTCCTACAACAGACAAAGATAGCTCTGTACAAGGAACTGTGGAGATACAGAGATTTAAAAAAAAAAAAAAAACCTTAAAATCTTTCCTGTTGTATGAGTAAGATTTCCTTCAGACTGCTTAAATATAAAGATAAACATATTTACAATTAACTCTAAGACAGAATTAAGTAAGTGTCACCAATGAGATAAAAACAAGATCTATCTTATCATATATTTACTACTGAAGCTTTGTCTGCTAATGAGGTGTAAACTAAAATTAAAATCATGTTAGGTTTCTAAAAAACACGTAGTGATAAGTGCCTTCAACGTATGCCACATAAAGTTTCAGCCACCCTGAGACCCAAGAGTACACCCACCCTTGTCAGAGTTACAAGTGGCAGAGATGCTCACTGTTTCCTTGGACATTTCTGCGTGAGTAAGCAATCAGCTGAGCTCATCTTTATAAAAAAAAAGTAATGATGCTTTATCATAGTTGTTGCTCTGTAAATATGGACATTTAATCAGTTCATTGATACTACCAATCTTGAAATTTGCTTTTTATATAAGTTATGTAAATGATTATAACCACTTTTAAAAAGTATTTCTTTTAGTACAATAGAAAATGGTAAATAATAGGTACTCAATAAACGTTGAATGAATGAGCAAATGAATTTGAGGACTTTATTATATTTTAACAAATATTTACCATTTAGGAAGTATGGTTCATAGTTTCATTGTTTTAAATATCTACTGGCTCCTTTGCCAGCTCTTTTTAGCAATAAATTTATTCAATTATTCTAATATCTGGTCTCTGATTCTCGACTTGGCTCTTTGTGAAGACTCGTGATTGTAAAGTAAAAGGTTAGAATGTCACCTATGACAGTGTTTACTCTGCCATATCATTGAGCACACTAGGAGTGAAGAGTTTATTTTTCAGAATGTATTTATGCCTCTAGCCTTTCACATCTAAAAAAAATTTTGCTGCAATAATTTGCTCCACCTTTAACAGGAATTGCATCTGTTACATTGTTCATCCATTCATTCAAAATAAATTTTGAGTTCTTCCTCTGTGCTAGGCATGTTCCTAAGCTGCAGTGAAATGCAGATTTCTCATTAAAAGACAAATGTTACTTTAATTTATGGAATGATAAAGATTTAATTTGATCAATTAAGTGTGTATTGAGGTCCTACAATACTTATTATTGAGTACCCAAAACTTATGTGCTTAGAAGAGACAGAAAAAAAGCCACTATCCAAGAATAGTGAATTGATACTTACTTCAAGATTGCTTTTGTCTGATGCTGGCACGCAAGCACTTATGGTTACAGTGACATCACTAATAGTACTCCCTTATTGACCTAGTTTGTTGGGGCATTGCTAAGGAATGAGCATTCCTTATATATTGGTATCTTTTATGATCCTGTGCATTTATAAATTGCTATGCTTGTTTTGGAAATGTCTACGTCTTAATTTTAGAATCTCCTTTCATACTTGTTCTTAAATCACTGATGCTCAGTTCTAGCCACACATCTGTGAGTAGCAAAGTGTTGGTCTCAATTTCCTCAGAGCTAAATCTCTTGAATGAGAGGAATGGACACACAGAGGACATTTCATCATCCTTACCAAACGCTGGCCACCAGCTGCCCCAGCTGCCCCCCCCCTATCTTAAACCTAATATGCACTGTAGGTTCTTCAGAAGTCAAGAGGGGAAGCTACTGGCCTTTCTGGACTCCTGTGCAATAATCAAGGAGCCCTGGTGGCACAATGGTTAAATGCTCTGCTGCCAGCTGAAAGGTCGATGGTTCAAACCTACCAGCCACTCTGTGGGAGGATACGCTTGGCAATCTGCTTCCTTAAAGAGTACAGCCTAGGAATCCCTATGGGGCATTTCTACTCTGTCACATTGGGTCGCTATGAATCAGAATCAACTTGATGGCACACAACAGAGAACAGAGTGCAATAATCAATTTTTTCTCCTCCCTCTCCCAGACTCTCTCTACTTCTTCTCTTCTCCTCTATCTCACCAAATCTCTTTCTCTCCCTTTTTCTCCCATCTACAAATCCCCTAGGAAACACATAAGGGTGGAAAACCTGGCAGTCGATATGTTAAGCCATTGTCTTAGTGATTCTAGTTTCAATTTCCTTACTAAGTTTCCCTGGATATAATTGAGGAAGAGGCTAAAAGTCTGCGTTGAAGATATTGAATTCAAATTGCTTTATCATTGGCTCGGAAGCCCTCTTCTCCCAAGTCTGCAGTTTTTATTTTCATTAAAGAGAAACAGGAAGAAGCATTGTGAAAGTAGAACTAGAGTTTACATCAACTTGCCTTTTCCAGTAAATCTCTCCATCTACAATAAATGCATGCCAAGCCTATTAGCCAAAGTGAAAAAATAGTTTACCATAGGGTACAACATTTTTAATATAGCTTTCTTAGTCATAATGGTGATTGATGTGAAGTCTGAAAACTCAAAACATCTACTGATTTCTGTGTTTTCCATTACCTCTTTTGGAACAATTTGTCTATGCTTATTTTTATTTACTTCGGAGTTGTTTTGTTTTCTTTTTATAATGTTAAGTGATTCATCCGAATACAATATTAATGCAAAAATATAAGGAACAAAACAAACATTTTCTAAAAAAGAAAATAAGGGATATCTATAATGCCATCATTACTTAACACTTCGGTATGTATTCTTCCAGATTTTTATTGTGCAAGTGACACACATGCTTGCTGGAGATTATTTTTGGTTCATTTTTATCTCAACCAACTTATTCACTAAAGATATTACAGACATCTTTCCATGTTAATAAATATAAAAACAAACAAAACCAAACCCATTACCATCGAGTCAATTCCGACTCATAGCGACCCTGTAGTACAGAGCAGAACTGCCCCATAGGGTTTCCAAGCAGCGGCTGGTGGACCCAAACTGCCAACCTTTTGGTTAGCAGCCAAGTTCTTAACCACTGCACTACCAGGGCTCCCTATAATAATAAATATAGATCTATTTAATAATTTTTAATAGCTGAATAGTATCCCATTTTACAGGTATACCACACTTTATTTAATTTTCTATTGATAAGAGGTTTAGATTAACATTTTTATTATTATTATTTATTATTTATCACAATACTTCAATGAATACTCCTGTATATGTTTCTTTGCCCATCCATCTCTGTCCTTAAAATAAATTCCTAGAGGTGGAATTGGAAAGTTAGTGTACTTATGCTCTTCTCTAAGGCTTTTGTTACATGTTGCCAATTGCTCTTGAGAAAAATTACACCAGTTTACCTACCCGGCAAAGAATCAGAGTGTTCTTCCTCGATATCCTTATATTTAGTTGGTTTTCAATAGAGTTATGTTTGGAAGGCTCATCCATAAAACTTTATCCTTGTGTACTGGTTGTGCAGCTGTAACAGCCTAAGATGTGTGTGATTCATGGTCTATAGTGAGGCTCCTGGCTCCTCCAGATGTTCTGTGTTGTCATCTTGCCTGTAGAGCAGCTGGGGTGATTTTCACCGGGAGATTTCACAATATTAAGGCAAATTGGCCAAATCTGCTTGGAGTTTATCATTGATGCAAAAATAGTTATGCTCACCCTGCCATCAGGCTAAGCCCTTTTGTTTCCATGTAAAGATCCCACTCTTCCTATTCAAATAAATCTAGATGTTGTTCTGACTTCTGGCCTTCCACCCCTAACTCCTCCAGCTAGTCCAGGCTGTCCTTGCTACTCCATCAAAACATGTGTTTTCCTTTTCCTGAGTCATTAGCTCACTCTCCTTAATATTCTTGTTTCTCCTTCCTCTGCCGTAAAAAGTTGCAAATAAAAAATAATACTGATGAGGATGAAATTGGAAGAAAAATGACACCGCACACTATTGTTGCTAAATCAGGATTCTGTGAAGTTTAAAAAAAGGGGAAGTTATGCCCGGGGACAACTCAGAAGGAGTTTTCCTCTATCTTCTCAACTTCGGATTTAGCAGGAAGTATTTCTTCTCCTGAAGTGCTGGCTGACTCTTCCTCATTGTATTTCCATCCTCTCACTCCAACTTTTAATCTGTGAGGCTCTTACTCTCCTTCTAACTTACTCCCACCCCTTCCTCATCACTCCTGTCACCTTGCCCAAGAAAGACAAGGATTAGGGGAAGGGGATGTAAGGAAACACGAATAAGGACAGTTTGAACTAGCAGCGTTGATAGAGACAGGGTGTGAACTTTTGCACAGATGTAGAATAAACTGAATTACATGGACCCTCAAGAAATGTTAATAACAATAAGTTGGTTGGGAAGGCATTTGGCTCTCCCCACCAGGAACATAAACTGTGAAAACTTCTCAAGTTCTTAGAAATGAATCAACTACTGGGACTTTTAGCATGGTACCAGCTTAATTCTGTTCTTTTACAGTGGCAGTCTCCACATCTGTCCTCCTGCTTACTGCAGTAGGTGTGCTACTTTTTTGTTTATGTTACAAAAAAACAAGGTGAGTACCCAAGATAATCACACTGAACAAGTTCCTTCCCTACAGAAAAAGTTTCACTCTAATGATTATCTGAACGCCCTATCGAAGAATCCCTCTCCTTGCTCCACACTCACCCTATTCTATATTGACCAAAAGGAATGTCAGAGCCAAACTGTCCTGAGGCAGCCCTATAGAGCCCTTCACTTCCCAAATCAGTTCTCAGACCACCAGTCAAAAACTGATGCAACAAGAACCTGACTGATGGAAGTGGGCCAAAATATCAAAAGCCAATGCAGAGAGAAATACTGTGCCAAATGACCAAACTGATGAATATACCAATCTTTATCAATGTTTCTTATGATGTATTCATAAATATATTCTTCTTGAATATACTCATTAAATATGTATATATTTTTCTTATAAATATACTCAATGTTGGTCGTCTCAGTTTTAATTTTGTATTTCTAATAATTCAAATTCTGCATTTCAGCATTTCATCTATGACAAGATTTTTCCACCACTTGCTGAAATTTCAGTTTTTATTTTTTCTACTCTTCAAGCATTTTTATCATTCTTTCATTAATGCCTCAAATGGCATATTAGCCTTAAGGTTGTACTTCTGTCGATTAGTAACCAACATTTCAGCATTCCGTACTGATGTGGTTGCTCTTATGAAATGCTTCCTTGGTATTATGCAATTAATGAATATCATATTTGATGAAACTAAACTTCTAATTACTAGTTATAAAATATTCCTTCCTAAATATCATATCAACATAAAGATTAAACCACCCTTTGAGCCTTACTTTGACAAGATAAACATTCCATGAAATGCTACTCAAATCCCGAATCCCGTTGCTGCCGAATCAATTCCGACTCATAGTGACCGTATAGGACAGAGTAGAACTGCCCCATAGGATTTCCAAAGAGCAGCTGGTAGATTCGAACTGCCAACCTTTTGGTTAGCAGTCGAGCTCTTAACCACTGCGCCACCAGGCATCACCAGGGCTCCTGAAATGGCTACTGTAAAGCTAAAATAAAAACCTGTCATTTAAAACTTCACATAAAACCAGCACAAGTTGTACAAGGAAAGGTCATGGAAGTTCCATAGACACATCCAAACTCCCTGAGGGACC